AGAAGCACAAGGAGATTCCGGCTCTAGAACTATACTCTATTGAGGTGCAAGTTTTCACTTCACCTTGACACCAGTCCTTCTGAGTCTGAAAGCATCGGGTGAGGTGACTGTCATCAGTTTTCTTCAAATCAGTCAGCATAGTATTTAGAGAAAGTACACACCATGCTTTTTGGCTTGAGTCATCTGATCTATTGAAGTATTTCCTCTATTACTATGGAATCCTAGCGGCTAACCCAGCAGTCATCCTATCTTATATTTTAAAGGTTAGAAAGATCTTCCTAAGGAAGAAAACCAGGAAAAGATAACTCTCAGGTCACTAAAATATATCCGACCCATTTTCTAGCTACCAGGTAAATATTTTCCGTGTTAGAAATCAAACCCAGGTCTTGCATGTGGTAGGCAAGCATCCTCTCACTGATCTACTCTCTAACCCAAGGTAAAATTAAGATAAGCATGAGAGCTATATGATTCATTAAGTATTAATACGAATTGAAGAATTTTGAAAATAGTTTTATATATCGCAACAATATTATGAAATGTATACTGGGGACTGGAGAGACGGCTCAGTGGTAGAGAGTGCTTGCTACTCTTGCAGAGGACTGGAGCTTGCTTCTCTCAGCACCCATGTCGGGCATCTCTCCTGTAACTTCAACTTCTGAGGATACCACACACTTTTCTGGCCTTGACATATACCTATGTGCATATACCCACACACAGACACACACATAGAAACACAATAAAAAATAAATCTTTTTAAAAACATGTATTGAGGACTGAAGTGATGACGCAGCAGTTAAGAGCACTGGCTGCTCCTCCAGAGGACCTGGGTTTAGTTCTCAGCACCCACATGATGGCTAAAAACCACCCATAACTCCATTTTCAGGGAATTCAACACTTTCTTCTAGCCTCCCTAGCCTCCATGGGCATTACATGGCTTACATACATGCAGGCAAAATATTCATATACATGATAAATAAATAATAAATAAAAAAACAGAAACAAAATCATGTATTGAAAAGATATTTAGGTTGGGTCTGGTGGCACATGCCTGTAATCCCAGCACTTGGCAGGCTGAGGCAGGAGTATTAGGAATTCAAGTCCAGCCTGGGATACATGACACATCTTTGATTAGCCTTGGCTATATAGTAAGACTCTTCAAAAAAAAAAAAAACTGTAAAAGCAAGCAAGCACCAAAGATGCTTAAAAGTGCTTAAAAGTCAACAGACTTCCACAATCAGGCACACAAAAGTAAACGAATAATGATAAAGTATTTTTCACATTACATTTAAGAGGTAAGAAGTATATTTTAGGAGTTAGATAAATGGCTCAGTTGGTAAATGGCTCAGTTGGTAAAGTGCTTGCTGTACAGGCATGAGGACTTTAGTTCAGATTCCCAACACAGATGTACAAAGCCAGGCACAGCAGCACACGTCTGCAATCCAGTGCTGTTGTGGACATGGACAGGTAGATCCCTGGAGCTCAATGGCTACCAAGCCTAGCTGGATTAGGAGTTTCAGGTTCAGTGAGAGACTCTGCCTCAATTAGCATTGGTAGGGAGCAATTGAAGATGATACCTGACATTGACCTCTGGCCTCTGTGTGCATACGTACCTACCCACACAAACAGATACATAAGCAAGCAATCATACATACACACGCAGAAAATGAAACCAAGAATTATTTTAATTAGAATGCAATTCTATGCCCAAAGCTTGCCATATGCATTCCATGGTATACTGTATACTACGTTTAATCCTTATTTGTACAAGTTATATTTTAAGTTAAATAGTGTACTCTCATCTAACGTGATATATACAAGTCACATTATATCATATTATATATAACAATCTAAAATTGAATGAACTACCAGCAAAGAACTATCCATATGAAATAATACCTCAGTCACGGAAAATGGGTACTAAAATCCCATTTGAAAAATCAGTAGAATAGGGACTGCACAAAAACAAAAATAAGCTTTTATCACTACTGAATTAGCTATGATAAAATAAAACCTATACATATGAAAACAGTGCCTCATTCCATGCTATACATGGCCTTATTTCTTCCAAAAATAGTTATTTTGCCTCCACATTTTCTTCTCCCCTCCTTTATGTGCACTCCTCCACTCTAGCACATGCTATGCTCTGATAGCTGGTTGTTGGTCCTCTGATGAGCTGCCTGCTCCATAAGCTTTGGTATGGAAGAAGAACAAGATCAGGAATTCTGTACTATGATGCAGTTTGCACATCCCTTGTCCAAAGATCCAGACTCCAAAACGCTCCAACATTTGAAGTATTCCCATGATGCCACAAAAGGAAAATTCTACCCTTGCCTCATGCAATTGGATACAGTAAAAATCATCATGCTAAAGAGGATTTTTTTCTTAAATTCAAATAAAATTGTCCTAAAGCTTCAAATAATTACTGAATTTCATATATATATATA